CGGGACAGGTCCTTACCACTCGGCTCGCCACCCCCCAGGGCACCCCTGTCTACCCCGCGCCTGCTCATCAACAAGGAGAAGACCGGGCAGGTGAGTTGGCTCTTATTGGAGCCCCCCCTCTCTCCCCTCCCCCTCCCCACCCGGGCCCCACTTTCCCTTTCGCTGCCTTCCTGGAGACCTGGGACCCCTCAGCTCAGGCCAGGGATTCCAGAACCCGGAGGGTCAGAGGTCAGGCCACCTCAACTCGGAGATTCTACAGGCCCCTGGGTCGCTCGGGACTCTTCTGAACCAAGTGACAGACCCCAACTCAGAGCAACCCGAGCCAGAACAGGAGCTCTGTGCCTCCTGCAAGTGAAGAGTCAGGGCGCGTTGGTCGGGAGGCGCCCCCTCCCTCTTTTGGCTCTTCTCCTGAGGTGGCCTCCCTCCCTCATCCCTGGGGAGGGCTGCTTCCTCCAACAGGCCAAACATGCCATGTGCCAGATGCTGTCCTAAGCACTTTCCTTTTTGTATTCATTTTTATCTTTAAAAATTTTATCTTGGGGCGCCTGGGTGGCCCAGTCGGTTATGCGTCTGACTTCGGCTCAGGTCCATGATCTCACGGTTTGTGAGTTCGAGCCCTGAGTCGGGCTCTGTGCTGACAGCTCGGAGCCTGGAGTCTGCTTCGGATTCTGTGTCTCCCTCTCTCTGCCCCTCCCCTACTCACACTCTGTCTTTCTCTGTCTCTCAAAAGTAAATGTAAAAACAAAATTTTTAAAAAATTTTTATCTTAAGCCGGCTCCACACCCAACATGGGGCTTGAACTCATGACCCTGAGATTAAGAGTTGTGTGCTCTAGGGGCGCCTGGGTGGCTCAGTCGGTTAAGCGTCCGACTTCAGCTCAGGTCATGATCTCACGGTTCCTGGGTTTGAGCCCCACGTCCGGCTCTATGCTGACAGCTCAGAGCCTGGAGCCTGTTTCAGATTCTGTGTCTCCCTCTCTCCCTGCCGCTCCCCTGCTTGTGCTCTATCTCTCCTTCAAAAATAAATAAACATCAAAAAATAAAAAAATAAAAGACAGTTGCGTGCTCTACCGACTGAGCCAGCCAGACGCCCCCTAAGTACTTTCTAAGTATTAACCCGCCGACGGTCCAGGGCTAGGAGTGGTTTGGTAGTTGCCCCTACTCTACAGATAAGGAAACTGAGGTTCAGAGAGGCCAAGTCACTTGAACAAAGTCACAGAGCAGGGAACAAACCCAGGCCACCTGGCTCCAGCGTCTGTGCTCTGAGCTCCCCGCCCGCCCCCACAGACTGACCCTTTCCTGGGGATGATGATGGGCCTGGGAGGAGGCATGGACTTCGACTCCAAGAAGGCCTATCGGTGAGTCCTGGGCCTGTGAGGGTCAGGGCCAAGGTGAGAGGGAGGGTGTGAAGATACACGGACTGGGAAGAGCGGGCAGGGCCCTGGGACAAGCCTGGGAGCTCTGACTGTCCCACCCACAGGGACGTGGCCTGGCTGGGTGACTGTGACCGGGGCTGCCTGGCCCTTGCTGACCTCCTTGGATGGAAGGTAAGGAGTTGGGCCACCTCGGCCCACCCTGAGCCCAGTCCCTAGTCCCCTGCCCCACAGGTTCTCTGACCCCAGGATGCACGGTGACCTCTGACCTCAGTGAACTTTGCCCCCCGCAGGAGGAGCTGGAGGACCTCGTCCGGAAGGAGCATGCCCGCATAGATGCCCAGCAGGCGGGGTCGGGGAGCCCTAACCCCAACCCTTCAACTTCGCCCAGGAAGTCCCCACCTCCTGCCAAGGAGGAGGCCAGAACCCCGGAGGGAGAGAAACCCCAGTGACAGCCACGCCCCCCGGGGAAGGATGCCCAGCAAATCCGGGACAGCAGAGCCCCAGCCAGCCCTGGCCCCCTCTAACTTGCAGCTCTCATCTGGGGAGCTCAGAACCTCGTCCCAGTCTCTTAACCACTTCCTCTCAAAACTGGGTTCCCAGCCCCCTGACCCTGGCAGATCTCTAACACCTCCCAGGGGCCGAGGCCTGGGCAGCCCGGCTGTAACAGCCCGCGGTCTCTAACCACCCGCAGGGCCGAGGGTCAACCTCCCCTCATCTCTAACTGCTCCCCGGGCCAGGGCCGCCTCTAAACTCCTAACTATTCCGCCCCGGGCCCCAGGGCTCCCAGGGCTCCCAGGGCTCCCCCTGCCCTCCACTGCTCCTCGGGGCCTGTGGCCAAGCAGGGCCAGTCCAACCTACCCTGGGCGGGCCCCTCAAACATCACTCCCACTCAGTGGGGGGAGCTGAGCCTGAAGGCCTCCCTGGTCTGTGTCTCCGACGCCCGAAGCGGGTGCCGGTCCCCTTCCCTTGGGACCCACTTCCCATGCGGGGAGGGGCAGATAATGTTGCTTATTGGAGACAAATTAAAAACAGAAACAACTAACGATCAGCTCTCCAGCCTCCCAGTTCCTTTCTGCGGGCACACGGGGAAGCAGCCGGAGGGCGGGCGGCAGGGAGACTAGAACACCTGCAGGCTCTTACGAGAAACAGCAGAGGGTGTTGACGGGACTCCGGGGCCTGCGACAGCCCCGTGGCTCTTCCCCGTGGGCCCCCAGATGGCCAGAGTCCCTTCCTCCAAAGCCTGGTCACCTAAGGTCTGAGCCCCCAAAAGAGGGGAAGGTTGGTTTCAGATACCCCCCCCCCAGCCCCGCCTCTTCCCCCACCCGCTCAGCTTCCTCTCTCTGTGAGGAACACTTTCACTTCCTGCTACTCCAGGCCTCCCCTCGAAGAACAGGTAGGGGTCCCCAGGGACCGAGCAGCTGGCGTTGTCACCCCCCACTGCCTCCCTTCGGTATCAGGTTGCTGCCCCCATGCTGCCCTGGCCAGCGCCACCGGCCTCCTCCCCTTCCTCCCCCTCCCCCTCCCCGTCCTCCTCCTCCTCCTCCACGTCTTCTCCTCTGTGGGACCCAGGCGAGCATCTGCCTCCCTGCCCCTACCCCTCCTGCCTGCTCTCCCCTGGACTGAGCACCTGCTCACTGTCCCCACCCTTCCCCAAACCCTGGGTTTCTGGTCAGCAAGCTATTTATTACCCGCCTCCTATACCACCCCAAGCAAGAATGGAAGCCCCTGAGAGCGTCCTGTCTATCACCTTCCCCCCGGGGCTAGCACCTCAGTCTGGGCCTGTACTTCTTAAGCGTTTGTTGGGTGCACAGATGAATGGCCACAGATGTCTCACTCCTGGGACTGCCTCAGGGAAAATATTCAAAAATGCCCACCTTGAGTCATAACCCACTGTAGCTAGGATTGTGTATTGGCTTTAAGAGTTGAGGCCCAGGGGCTCCTGGGTGGCTGTCGGTTGAGCGTCCGACTTCGGCTCAGGTCATGACCTCACGGTCCGTGAGTTTGAGCCCCGCGTCGGGCTCTGTGCTGACAGCTCAGAGCCTGGAGTCTGCTTTGGATTCTACGTTTCCCTCTCTCTCTCTGCCCATTCCCCGTTCATGCTCTGTCTCTCTCTGTCTCAAAAATAAAATAAAACATTAAAAAAAATTATAAAAAAAAAAAAAGAGTTGAGGCCTGATAGGGGCACCTGGCTGGCCCAGCCATAGAGCATACGACTCTTGATCTCAGGGCTGTGAGTTCAAACCCCATGTTGGGCATGGAGCCCACTTAAAAAATCTTTAAAAAAAATTTTTTTTTAAACATTTATTCATTTTTCAGAGATGGAGAGAGACAGAGCATGAGTAGGGGAGGGGCAGAGATACAGAGAGACACAGAATCCGAAGCAGGCTCCGGGCTCTGAGTTGTCAGCACAGAGCCCCATGCGGGGCTCGAACCCCTGGACCATGAGATCATGACCCGAGCCGAAGTTGGACGCTTAACCGACTGAGCCACCCAGGCGCCCAGAAAAAACCTTTTTTAAAAATTAAGAGTTGAGGTCCAGTGGATAGAGGGGACAGATGTGTCACAAAGCAAAAAGCAAAGTGGTTACAATAAAATCTAGGTAGTGAGTACATGGATGTTCCCTGTAAAATTCTCTCCTTTTTTCTGAACGTTTGAAAACTTTCACAGTAGAATGTTGGTGGGGGCGGGAATATCCGAGAGCCCTTCTGTGGTCTGGGAAGGGAGGAAGAGAGGACGTCTGTAACATGATGGCACGTTTACAGAGTGCCTACCATGGGCGGAGCACTTGTCCACACACGGGGTTGTTACTCAACTGCTCCGCGTCTGTATTATGGCAGCACCGGTTGTCAAAATCTGAAGTGTTCCTGTACCCCTTGGTAAATAGCTGTTGGTTTGGGTCCTCCCCTTGTCCCCTCCCCACCAGGACACACGGGCCTTCCTTCTGGGATCCCCACATCTCCCCACCAGCCAGCCGCTAAAGAACTGACACCTGGCACAGCGAGGGGCTTTGGGCCCATTCTGATCGGTCAGGGTCTCTGCTATATCGTGAATATTACCCCTGGATTGGAGCAGCCTTGAACTTTACCTTCCTCCCTGCCAGAGGCCAGACCATGGCTTGCTGGCCTCCCGCATCCTGAGGATGGCCCAGCCGGAGGACAAGGCCTCCGCAGGCCTCATCGACGGGGAGAGGTGAGAGCTGCGGGGGCTGGGGTCTCCAACTCCTGCCCCCGGATTCAGAAGGCCCTTCCAGCCATCCAATGCCCACCCCCCCCATAGGACCCTGAATCTCATCTCGCCCCTGGGCTGCCCCTTGCCCCCTGCACCTTGGACCCCACCTTAGTGTCCAACTGCCCACCTCTAACCTCTGGTCTCCTGGACCCTGCACGTCCCAGGATGGTTCCACCACAGGTGAATGGAGCAGGTGAGACCCCCTTAGGGGTCCTTGGGACCCCAGAGCCACTCCTTCGCCTGCAGAGGACACGGGGGGTGTGGCAGATCCCAGAGCTGGCTACTCAGGATGCGGGAGCCCTTCTTGAGCTGTGGCCACCGGGGGTGAGTACTCACAGCCGGGGACCCTCTCTGACCCTCCCCATGACACCGTGGGTCAGTCAGGACTCCGCTGCTTGCTGGTGACAAACAGCACAAGCCGGGAAAACGAAAAAAGGCCACTTACTGAAAAGTAAGTGGGCTGAAAACCCCGGAAGAAAGGGAATTTCAGCAATGTCTGGATCCTGAGCATTAGACGACTTATAAAGTTCTCTTCATCCCATGTCTTGGCTTGGCTTAAAAAAATTTTTTTAACGTTTACTTATTTCTGAGACAGAGAGAGAGCATGAGTGGAGGAGGGGCAGAGAGAGCCGTCAGCGCAGAGGCCGACGCGGGGCTCGAACTCACAAACCGTGAGATCGTGACCCGAGCCGAAGTCGGTCGCTCAACCAACTGAGCCACCCAGGCACCCCTTGGCTTTGCTTTAAACTGTGCGGAAAGCCGACCGTTTGGGGTTTTGAGGAACAAACACTCGATCCACACAGTAGCTTAGGCAAATAGGCACTGCTCTTTGTACCAGAAAGGCAGCTGCAGGCTCTAGTTTAGCAGCTCGGGGACATCAAGGCCAGCTTTTGCAATTCTCTTGGACTTCCTCCGTGGTTGCCCAGTGGCTGCCCCGGGTCCAAGCACGTGTGTGAGCTCCAGGCAGGAGGAAGACGAGAAAGGAAGCTCCGGTTAAAAGAAACAGGAAAACCAAAAGCCTTCACAATTGATTCAAAACATACGGAGGGGGGCCCCCGGGTAGCAATACATTGTTTAAAGCTCCCCTGGGGGTTATAAAACCCGAGGTGAGAAACACCACCTACGTCATTATCCATCTTCTACGGCTGGGCAGATGAGGCCCTCACAACCCTGCAGTTCTGCAAGGGACAGGGAACGGATTAGGATAAGGCAACTAGGGCCTACACAGCTTCCTTCTCGAGGGGGCTCCCTCCTTGTGGTGGCAGAGATGGCTGTCCCCAGCTCAGGGCCACATCTCACAAGCTTAGCAATCCCAGTGTGAAAAGAGTCCTTGTGCCGAAGACCTCCAGCAAAAACCTCGTGGAAGATTTCCATTGGCTGGGCCTGATTCACATGCCCATCTCTGAACCAATCACAGTGGTTAGAAAGCACTGTCATGCTATTGGCTAGGTCAGGTCACAGACCACCCCTAGGGCTTGGACAGAGTTAGTCCCACCCACGGGCACTAAGGGAGGAAGTGGGTTTCTCTAAAGGAAATTTGGCCAGTGGAACCCGACATAAGGGAAATGGGATGCTGGGCAGGCAAAAGTAACAGACATCGGCACAAATCCTCTCCAAGATGACCTTTGCCTCCACCCCCACCCCCGAACCAGAGTTTCCTGGTCACAGGACACAACTCCAGCCAGGTCCTGGTGTTGAGGACAGGAGCTTCACCAGGAGAAGTCTGCACCTACCAGATCCAGAAGCTTCCTGGAGGTAAGGAGCCTACTCTTGAGTTTCCAGTCCACAGCAAATTTGGTGAGCTTCGCTTCCAAAATAATCTCCCAAATCCTATTTGGTGGCATAAGTGGGATGCAAGCCTAAAGACACAGGAAAAGATGGGGACTTCAAGGGGTGGAAATTTCCCTGTGTTGAAGGGCTGTTGGGGGACTGCAGAACTGAGGAAGAGAGAGTCCCAGGGAAGATGAGGCTGCCACCCTCCAACTTTTCTTCCTTGCCCTTTGTTGCCCCCAACCCTCAGGTGTTTCTCTGGAATACTCTAACCTCTGTATGCCGGACCTGCCCCATCTCCTGGCTTTCCTATCAGCCAGCAGGTACAGGTTACCCGTCAAAAGGGCTAAGGGGATCCAACTCTAAGGCATCCCACCCACGGCAGCTCCCCATTATCTTTTCTCAGGGATGTTTTGCCCAGAACACTGCTCTTGCCCCCTCCCACTCAAAGGCCAGGAGACCAACAAACAGGTGAGAGGCCACCTTCCAGCCTCCTTGGTCCAGAAGGATGGCACTTCAGGAACCAGACTTCTGTGTTTGAGGGAAGATAGAATGGGGGTCTGAGAGCGCTGTGGGAGGCTCGACTCCTGGGCCTGAGTGACAAGGGACCAGGGACGAAGCCTCAGCTCCTTCGGTAATGAGGCTGGGAATTAATTCTCCTGGGACCCTGAAGGAACCAGGCCTGGCGCCTGGGACATCTGGGACACGTCGGTTGTGCTGGCTCCCAGGTCTTCCACAGACCGGCGGCGTCCAACTCAACATCTCGGAGAAGGTGCTCCCCATGGTGAACAAGCTGTACCTGGAGACCCACGGAGGGTGGGGTTTGGAGCAGATCACCGCAGAGACACCTCCAGGGACTGCAGAAAGCCACAGTTCAGGTTAGCCGGGTGGGGCAGGGCCCTGGGCCCTTGAAGGATGAGGGAGCTATTGCCGCTGTTCTGCGGGACCCGACCCTCTCCTCACATCCAGCCCCCAGGAACCCTGCCCCTCACCGGGTCTCCTGGGTCGAAGGCCCGCTCAGCCCAGAAGGATACCATCCTGGGCCAACCCTAGCCAGCCTGGTGGAGGAGAAAGAGAAGGAGGACGAGGACGAGGACGAGGACAGCTACAAAGATGAAGAGAAAGGACCTGACGATGTTCTCACCCATCACATCCAGGCTCTGGCCAGGGCCCGGAGCAACTACGTGGGCAGGCAGTTCCAGGGCCTTCGAGCCCGCCTCACCTCAAATGCTGGAGGGCCCCACAGGCCCGGGGACCCAGCCACAGAGCTGCTTCAGGATGTGCGGCACCTCCTTACCGACCTCCAGGATCACTTGTCAAAGGACCCCGACGTCAGGGCTGTCTTTGGGAGCCGGGGGCCTGGGGTCCCCCAGAAGGAGGAGGATCTTGGTAATAAGGAGGACTGGGAGGGAATTTATGGCCAATGCCCCGACCCACTCGGGTTCTCGTTTGCCATCTCCGGGCCTTACGTGTGTGTTTCACACCCAACGTCTTTCTCTCCATCCGTGTGCACCTGTTTGCTTTTCCACTCACGTGCTTTTCCCTCCCTACGGGAACATCTCTCACATGGGCGACAGCCATACTCCACACCCAGGCTCCCTCTTGCACACGTGTTCCCACCCATGTCTACACTTGTGGGCGGCCAGAAGCCAGGGAGGGCTGGGGGGCGGGGGGGGGGGGGGAGGGTAAGGTCAAGTGGAGCGAGAGGGTGGACGTGGGTCAGCCTGGCGGCCCTTCGCTCACCGACCTCAACCCCTCACAGGCGCCGCGTTGGAGGCCGCCCTGTGCCGGGCGGTGCTGGAGCCCCTGAAGCCCGCCCTGTGGACGCGACTCCGGACGCTGCGAGCCCGGGAGCTGCGGCGACTGCGGCAGCGACAAACAGCCCTGCGGGCGGGGGCGGGGCCTGAGGGGCAGGGCCCCGTCCCCGCCCTGCGGAGCCGCATCCACGCGCGCCTGGAGCACCTCCACGCCGCCTGCGCCCCACGCCGCAAGGTGGCGCTGCTGCTGGAGGTGTGCAGTGACGTTTACGCGGGCCTGGCTCAGGGCGAGGACCAAGGTAAAGAAGGTTTACCCGCGTCTACCCGGATGTGCGGTGGCTGGAGGATTGGGGAGGCGCGGTGGGAGGCGCCAGTGTGCACGTCGAGGGGAGAGGGTGACCCGCTCTAGCAGGGGGCGCCTACGCGGGCCTGGGGATCCGCCGAGAGGCGTTTGCCGGCCCAGCGAGGTGGAAGGGCAGCCCGCACTCGTGTTCTGGGGATCGGACGGAGGGGTCTGCACGCCCGCCATCCACCTCGGAGCCCGTCCTGCTCCGCCAGAGCCCCTGGGGGCCGACGCCTTCCTGCCCGCGCTGACGGAAGAACTGATCTGGAGTCCGCACATTGGGGAGACGCAGCTGGACGTGGAGTTTCTTATGGAGCTCTTGGATCCGGACGAGCTGCGGGGAGAAGGTGAGCCCCCACCCCGGAACGCCGGGACCCCACAGGGGGCGCCCTGGGGCCAAACAGCCTCGCCCTACAGCAAGGGTTAAACTGCAGGGGGACCTCGGCCACCAGCGTAGCCTGAGAGCTGCGCTGACCACCCCTTCCTGCCCCTAGCCGGGTACTACCTGACCACGTGGTTTGGGGCGCTGCACCACATTGCTCACTACCAGCCCGATGTGGGCCGCGCACCCCAGGGGCTCAGCTCTGAGGCCCGCGCCTCCCTGCGCCAGTGGCACAGCCGGCGAACGCTGCACAGACAGGACAGACAGGACCGCGGAGCCCAGGTGATCGCCCCTCCGGACTGCGGGTGGAGGGGACCGCTGGACCCACTGTCCTTCTGACCCAGGCTCCTGCCTCTCCCCACAGGTCCAACTGCCCTTTGAGGAGCCATGGGCAAGAGACACTGTGCCCAGAGACGGACTATGATAAGGGGTCCCACATCCTCCTGTTCCTCAGGCAAGATTCGGGAGGCGCCGATTTCTGACCCCTGTTGGTTTAGGTGCCAGGAGGCCGCGAGGTTCCCCGGAACAGACCCACCTCTGGGCCTTTGCATTGGCTACTCCATTCTCTAGTATTTATATCGCTCCGTCCCTCCGTTCCTTCAGGTCTTTGGGTGGCTGTCACCTTCTCGGGGAGGCTCTCCCAGACACCCTGTGTAAAATTGCACCTCCTCTGGCTTGACCCTCCCTGCGGCAGGCAGAATAATGCTCCCCCCCCCCAAGACATCCACCTCCTGATCCCCCAAATCTGTGAATATGTTACCTTACATGGTCAAAGGGACCTGACATGTGTGACCAAATGAATGATCTTGACATGGGGAGATTATTCTGGATCATCCTGGTGGACCGGTAACATCACAGGAGTCCTCTTAGGAGGGAGGTTGGGAGGGTCAGAGTCAGAGAAGGAGATGTGATTTTGTAAGCAGAGGTCAGAGTGATGTGGCCAGGAGCCAAAGACTTGTCTAGAAGCTGAAAAAGACGGGGAATGGATTTCCCCCTGGAACCTCCAGAAAGAATTCGGCCTTTGATTTAGGCCCTAAGACCCGTTTTGGACTTCTGACCTTTAGAACTGCAAGATAATACATTTGTGGTTTTTTGAGCCACTACATTTGTGGTAATTTGTTACAGCAGCAACAGGAAGCTGATATACTCTCTTACCCCAATCTTTATTTTTCTTCCATAGAAATGATCACTTCCTAACATACCATAAAATGTCCATATTTATTGTGTTAATTGTCCATAGGCTCCCGTCCCTTAGAACAGCACAGCACCATCCAAGAGAAATACAATGCAAGCTAGGTATGCAATTCTAAATATTCTAGTAGCTACATTACAGAAAAGTAAAAACTCAAGTGAAATTAACCTTAATAACCTATTGGATTTAACTCAGTGTATCCCAAAGGTTATCACTCGTAACATGTGATCGATATCCAAAAATTAGGGGCTCCTGGCTGGCTCAGTCAGAGGAGCGTGTGACTCTTGATCTCAGGGTCGTGGGCTCGAGCCCCACGTTAGGTGTAGAGATTACTTAAAAATTAAAATAATATATTGGGATGCCTGGGTGACTCAGTCGGTTAAACGTCCAGCTTTGGCTCAGGTCATGATCTCACCGTCCATGAGTTTGAGCCCCGAGTCAGGCTCTGTGCTGACAGCTCAGAGCCTGGAGCCTGCTTCAGATTCCGTGTCTCCCTCTCTCTCTGCCCTTCCCCTGCTCACGCTCTGTCTCTCTCTAAAAAATAAACATTAAAAATTTTTTTTGAATAAAAAAAAATCCTTAAAAAAATATATCCAAAAATTATCGTGCTATTTAACATTCTTTTTGTGTGCGTGCTAAATATTCAAACTCAGTGTTTACTTTTTTAATGTTTTTCTTTTTTTTTTCTTTCTTTGGTTTTTGAAGGAGAGAGAGTGTGCAAGCAGAGGGACAGAGGGAGAGGGAAAGACTCTCAAGCAGGTTCCACGCCCTCCCACCATAGAGTCTGAGGTGGGGTTCGATCTCACGACCACGAGATCGTGACCTGAGCCAAAATCAAGAGTCAGATGCTTAAATGAACCACCCAAGTGCCCCTCCAGTGTGTATTTTACATTTCAGCACATCTCCGTTGGGACCAGTCACATTTCAAGTGCTCAATAGCCACACGGGGCTGAGAGCTACCATTTTGGACAGTGTGGCCTTAGACTGCCTTAGGGAGGCTAGGGATCTCTGTCTTGTTCACAGCTGTATTCTCCGTGCCTAGACAAATGCCTGGCACACAGTAGGTGTGCAGTAAATACAGAGTTTCTGTGGTACACTGAAAATGACTCCCCAAAAGACACCCATGTCCTAACCTCTGGAATCCATGAGTGTTACCTATTTGGAACAGGGTCTTTGCAGAGTTTTTAAAAATTATTTTTAATGCTTACTTATTGTCAAGCGAGAAAGAGAGACAGAGCATGAGTGGGAGAGGGGCAGAGAGAGGGAGACACAGAATCCGAAGCAGGCTCCAGGCTCTGAGCTGTCAGCACAGAGCTGAACGCAGGGGCTCGAACTCACAGACGGTGAGATCGTGACCTGAGCCGAAGTCAGACGCTTAACTGACTGAGCCACGCGGGTGCCCCCATGCAGATGTTTTAAGTCAAGGATCTTAAAATGGGAAGGCTATTCTGGATTGTCTGGGGGAGGGCTCCAAATGCAATCCCACGTGTCCCTGTGAGAGGCAGAGGGAGATTTGAAGACGTGGCCTTGAAGGGTGGAGGGTGGGCGGTCACAAGCCCAGGAAAGGCGTCAGCCACAGATGCCGGGAGAGGCGCCCACCTGATTCTCTCTTAGCGCCTCCAGAAGGAGTGAGGCCCTGTCAACACCTTGATTTCAATCTGGGGATACTGATTCCAGACTCCTGGCCTCCGGAATTGTAGCAGAAGAAATTTCTGTTGTCGTCAGCCACCGAGTTTGTAGTCATTTCTTACAGCAGCTGCGGGAAACTTACCAGTGACTCAGCACTTCGTATAAAAGAGAAAAATTGGGGCGCCTGAGTGGCTCAGTCCATTAAGCCTCCGACTTCAGCTCAAGTCATAATCTCATGGTTTGTGGGTTCGAGCCCCAACGGTGTAGATAGAGCCTGCTTGGGATTCTCTCTCTCTCTCTCTCTCTCTCCCTCTCTCTCTGCTCCTCCCCGACTCGTGCTTTTTCTCTCTCCAAATAAATAATTTTTTTTTTTCAAGAGAGAAAAAAAGGGAGCAGAACGAATATCCAGCCCAGTCCTCTTCTAGCGACAAAGGACATGCGTCTGCCGATAACAGGAATTAACTAGAAAAATAGGAAAATCCCTCTCAGTCCATTTCATGAAGAGATGTATTGCCATTAAAATTTTACGTTTCACATTTTGCATTTCATAATCAAAATTCTGTAATTTTAGACATCAAGTAAAAAAAAAAAAAAAGGCGTGCCAGGTAGGAGTTCTTTGCAATTGTGTTTTTTTTTTTTTAATTTTTTTTTTCAACGTTTATTTATTTTTGGGACAGAGAGAGACAGAGCATGAACGGAGGAGGGGCAGAGAGAGAGGGAGACACAGAATTGGAAACAGGCTCCAGGCTCTGAGCCATCAGCCCAGAGCCCGACGCGGGGCTCGAACTCACGGACCGCGAGATCGTGACCTGAGCTGAAGTCGGACGCTTAACCGACTGCGCCACCCAGGCGCCCCTGCAATTGTTTTTAAAAGCCAGAAAGCTTACAATGGCTACACTGGGATGGCTACACTGGGGAGTGGGGCAGGAAGCAGGGATGGGGGGGTGGTGATGAGCTACAGGATGTGGCCTCTGATCTTACGATTCAGACACAACTCAGTGGGGTAGCTGCATCCCAAGAGACCCAAGAGATGTGAGGGGACCATCTCCTTTTTCCAGAACCTCCAGGGCAAGCAGGACACTGAGAATTGTATTGTGTTTATTTATTATGCGCTTATGTACATGTGTATATATTTCTTATCACTGTAGTAAGAATCATACAAGATTTACCCTCTAAAGTGTTTTTAGGTGTGCAGTTCCGTAGCGTTAACTGTATTCACATTGTTGTGTGACCGATTTTTATTTTTGAGAGAGCAGGGAGCAGGGGAGGGGCAGAGAGAGAGAGAGAGGGGTACAAAGGATCTGAAACAGCCTCTGCACTGACAGCAGACAGCCCGATGTGGGGCTCGAACTCATGAACCGTGAGATCATGACCTGAGCGGAAGGCAGACACTTAACCAACTGAACCATCCAGGAGCCCCAGGATTTCTTTCTAAACACCAAATAATAGCGGTCTTTAAACTGGCTGGCTCAGTCGGTAGAGCACGCATGCGACTCTTGATCTCAGGGTCGAGAGTTCCAAGCCCCATGTTGGCCATGGAA